GAAGCCGAGAAGGTCAATGTGAGTGGACATGGTCAATAAAGGTTCTATTGGATGAAGAAAATGAAAGATGTGTGAAAAATAAAGGCAAGGCACTTTAGATAAAGACACCCCAAATGAATTTAACAAGAATGGAGGCAATGGGAAGCAAGAAGCAATAGGTGTATATAGCTGCCCTAAGTGTGGGAAAAGTCATAAAGGTGTAGGTAGGGTTGGTCAAAATGTGTGCTTCAAGTGTAAGAAGCCCGAACACTTTGCTAGGAAGTGCCCCCAACCTAAAGGTCCTCCAACCAACCTAAGACCACCGTTTAAGGGAGAGTCTACACCATCTGTGGCCAGGAAAGTCGGGCCCCTAATCTAGGCCATGGTTCTAGGTTTATTCATGTTATTCCTTTGATTGTACCATTTGATTTTAGAGCTACACATTCTTTCATTTCCACTTCATGTGCCCATTAAACTTGTTATTTTCCGCCCTTCCCTGTGATTTGATCATGTATGGTCCGATAGGGGGTAATGTTGTGACTTCTTCAGCATGTTTGAGTTGCCCCTTTTAATATGAAAAATGAACATGTGAGATAAATGTCATTTGCCTTCCTTGGTTAGATCTTGACATCATCATTGGAATGGGTTGGTTGTGTTTCTCAAAACTCAAGAGGGGTGAATTGAATTTTAAAAACTTTTTACAAAATGCCTCATTTTCTTTGTAAAAATAATTTCTTGAGATACTATGATTTGGGATAAATAAAAAGTAATGGATAATAATTTAGACAAACAAGTTGTGATCAACAAATTTAAAGAGAGAATACTTAAGTAAAAGAGAGAAAGTTGGAGAAAGTACAAACTTAGTTTATCCTATTTTGATCACAATCATTGTTTACTATCTCTAGCCTTCAATCACCACAATGATTGTTCCAATCAAGTTTTAAGAGTGCTTAAACAAACCACCACAATCACATCAATATTATTATTTTTGGACACTTTACACTTCCTCCCTATTTCTTAGTGAATGGGCTACCTTTCCATCTAGGGTCTCACTGTAAGAACCTGCACCGCTAAATAATTAATTAAATAAGATTATCGATGTCGGAGCATGAATTTGATAAAGATTATGCATAATTATGATGAGATGATTATTAAGAAATTCGAATAATGCTTAAGTCGCTTTTCCGATGAAAAGTGCAGATACTAGTTTTGATTCGCGGTGTAAATGCGTACTGGTGAAGGAGTCCGAAAAATTATAATAAAAATATAAATATTCCTAGAAAAATATCTAGGTCAAGGATATCAAGTTTGGAGTACGAATAATGAACGTAGATGTCAAAACTAATAGCGGCTACGTATAAAACGCGTACCGGCAAAGTGCTGCGAAAATTATAATAAAACATGATAATTCCTAGAACAATCTCTAGGTTCAGAATATTAAGTTTGGGAGTAAAATAATTAATGGAGCTATTATAACAAATACCGATGAGTTAAGTGGGGTAACCTTATATAAGTGTAGCTTATACACTTATCCTATTTATTCCAAAAACCTACGCAGCTCCCTTCCCAAACTTCAGACCACATTCTTCTCCATTCCCAAGAAAGATCACACCTTTCTTCATGGGAGTTAGCAAAGAACCCATTTTTATGCATTTTTCTCCCTCTTGATCCTTTTCGTGAGTTGAAAGTAACCATTTGAGGCAGAAAAGTCTCTTCTTGGAACCTTTTTTGCTGCTGTCTTGGAAGGGTGAGTGTGAGTCTTGTGAGTTTGAGAGTTGGAGTCAATAGCAAGCTTGCTTGGAAGCTCTTAGTGGTGATAGGAGTGATTTTCATCACTCCATTTTCGTGTACAGTGCTTGGTGGAAGCAAAGAGTGGATTTTCCAACCTCAAAGACACTCCATTTTCTGTTTACAAAGCCTTGGGTACATTCTACACCTTTGTTCTTGAGTTTTTAATGAAAAAAAATGAACCTTGATGCATTTAATAAGAGAAAGTTGGTAACCTAAGTGTAAAATTGGTATAACACACCTAAAAAATGCATGTTTGAACGTCTGAAAGTGTTAAAAATGGAACCTTGGAAGGATATCTTCGAGAAAATGCAAAACTGCATTCTAACACAAAATATCCGGATATTGGGTCTATGATATCCGGATATGGATATCCAGATATTGACCCTGTGATATCTGGATATTGATATCCAAATATGTCCCCGGGAAATATCCGGATATTCTGGGAAAAATCATGTTTTGAGCTATTTTACCCAAACAAAAGCGTGGGTTAGGTTTCTGGACCCTTGATTGGTTAGAATGGAACTCTGTAATGATCTAACTAAGTCAGAACCAATAATATTGAATGCCTATGGCATTGAGAGAAGCCTACGGTCATTAAACGAAAAAGGAAACATTGTCCAAATGCAATAAGCTTCTAAACTATGAATATTAATTATATTTCTGGTGTAAACAGACTCTGATTGTTCTGTTTGGTGACCCGTGGACTTTGTGTTGACTTCTAGTTTGTATTACTGGCTTGTTAGGTAAGCTTTCATGTCTTTGGTTTTACCCATTGATGGTTCCACCATACCTCATGGAGGAGTGGTTTATATGCATGATGTGTTTTCTGAAATTATGTGAAGAATATTTGATATGTTGTTGAGCTGTTTTATGAGTGCAAATGTCATATGATATGTATGTGGTGTGTTCCACCTAGACGGTAATCCCTGAGTATGTGGAGACATACAAGATGGTAACTCTGTGGGTGAGGTACAAGAGAGGAACCTTGTACTGTGGGTTGTAGACGTATGTAATTCCTACCTTTTATTCTCTGTCCAGTAGGATGCATACACACATGACATAGAGATATGCTGCATTGCATGGATATTTGCTATTATACTGTTATTATCTTTTTGGAACTTATATTGCACATGTAAGTGAGCTTAGGGTGGAGAGATCCTTGAGGACCTCTTGTCTTACTGAGATTTCTTGTTAGAGATCTCACCCCGTGTGGGGCACATTTTCAGGTACAGGTACCTCTGAGGTTGAGACCTCTGGTGGTAGGAGGCCGGAGTTGAGTTGATATGATGCATGCTATCTTTATTGCCATATTTGCATATGATTATGCCTTGTTATTATTATATGGCTAATATACCTGAGACATGACTTGATGTTTATGTTGTTTTATTTGGTGAGCATGGGGGTTGTCCATGCCACATTGGTATAAGCTATGTTTATTTCATATCTGAGCTGTAATATTGTATCAGAATATTGTCTGGTCTACGTATTGTAGTTCTTTGACTTGATACACTATTTATATTATGAGGTTATTCATTGTAGTTATTTATTGCAATTTACATACATGCGATATTTTGAAAAAGAATAAATAAATCCAATTGGTTAATATGATAAATTCATAATTGAAAAAATTTAGCTTACGCATTTATTGAACTGCGCTTATTACCATTTATATGTTTAATACACCAGGTGAACACGGGGTGTTACACTCACTACCCTCAATCAACAATTATTCAAGAAATAAATGTTTTTTAGACAAGCTAACCACTCTCAAAGTGTAAATGACATAAATTAAAATCTAGTAGATGTATAGCCTAAAGAATAAGAATGAGTTCAAGCATGTGATAATCAAGTAAGGATATAATCAATGAACAAGAATTTGATAGGATAAGTAATAATGACCCAAAAAATTTGCATGGTGCCATGTGTCCTTGGATCAGAATGCAATTTGACTCGTTTGACCACCAAATAGCGGGTTTGTCACCTTGGGATTTTGGCAAAATTTTTGTCTCTCGTGTCATACCAATAATTGTTTTTGATAAACAAAACAAAACGGTCAATGCCCCTCTTATCTATATGCTTGAAACCCATTTGAACAATAAATAACTCATAACTTTTATATATATATATATATATATATATATAGAGAGAGCTTATTGTTTCTCAAGCTACTAAATCATAACCGTATAAAGATGAATCAATGATGATAAAAAAATAGTGTATATATATATATATAACAAAAGTGTCAGAATATTCATTTGCGATAAAATCTCAACATTGGTTAGTAATTAATTAAGTAAACTTCATATAAGTGATAAGATTCATAAATTTAATGTTCGAAGTTTTTGAGTTGAAATATGATGTCGGACACATTTACTATCTATGAGCTGTTTTTAGCTTGTCTAACAAGAAAGATTCGTCCCAATATATATTATTATGGATTTATAATTAATTAATAATTATAATTAAATAAATTATAATAATAAAATTCTTATTCTTACATCGGAATTAAAAGATCCTTCACAATGTATATTTGCATAAGCAATTCTATCAAATCTAATATTCATGGTAATAATATCCATGAATTTATCAAATTTGTCAATATATATATATATATATATATATATATATATATATATATATATATATATATATATATAATAATTCATTATTTATTATTAAGAAAAAATTATTCTCATATTATATAAGATTATTTTCTCTCCTGCACACTCTTTGATAATTATATTTTTTTTTATTTTTTATTTTTTAAGGCGGTAAGCCCCTTCACCCAGTGTATATGACATGAGATTCATCCTCTAATATTACATGAGAATATATAAGCCCTATTAGTACTAATGCTTAATTTGAAGAGGTCGCTGTACCCATGGGACAGGAAGCTGGTGTTTTTAGGACTGCTGCACTTGCATGGTTCAGTGGGTTTGCAAGCTGTTGCTAGTGGTCCCCCAAAACTGCTACAAGTACAATTTTTATTTCCCTTATTAATATAAAGTTTAATCAGGTACCGTTTCCCAGAAAAATTTATGTTTCTTAATGTAGTTCCTTATAACTTCATCGTTTTGGCAGTTCTCAATTAATAACACTTAAAGCAAACAAATGTTTTTTTTTTTAGTACTTGCTAACATATGTTAAATAACACTATTTTGTTCTCTCCATTGATTCTGGATTCCAAACCAAAAGCTCATTTCTGTTACTTGTGCTGTTGGGCGCTAAGAATGACTTCTAAGCCTGACTATAGAGATGGCTCCAATGGTGACTCTGCCCCAAAGACAATCCACTTTTTCAGGATCATACACCCTAAAACCCTTTTGGAGGGAAAACTAGTAAGCATATATGTTTCCTTTTTCAAGATCATGTCTCTATCCACTTTTTTTGCTACTCACCGAAATAATGCTACATTCTCAACATTTATGCACTTGGTAACTAAATTTCCAAAAGGGTATTGTGAAGTTTATTAATGAATTACATTAATTGATGTCTGTTAACACATACATTATATTTATCTATCTGGATCTGCATGACAGATGCTTCCAATAAAGTTTGTGAGGAGATATGGAGAAAGCTTACCAAACACAATACTTCTCAAGCTTTCAAGCGGTGCAGAATGGACAGTAAACTTGGAGAAACATGATGGTAGAGTTTGGCTTCAAAATGGTTGGAAAGAATTTGTGGAGTATCACAGTCTAGCTTATGGGCACCTATTGGTTTTCAGATATGATGGAACATCCCATTTTCATGTACTCATCTTTGACCCGAGTACCATGGAAATTGACTACCCTTTCAATATCTTAGATCCTAAAAGGGCCCGCAATGGTGAACTTAAATCAAGTAAGAAACGGAGAACAAATGGAAATAGTAACAAATATGAGAGTTATTCCAATTTGCAGGACACTTCCTTTCATTCAACAGTCAAAGACTGGAAAGGCATGGTTCTAGATTCCAAGTGTATTTATTTCGTGTTTAAGTTTCAGATAAAAGCTCATAAAGAATTTATCTTTTCTTTTTTTAATTAGTTTTCCTGATTTTTTAGGTTTATTGAAGAATCCAAGTGAAAAAAAGAGAAACATTGACCAGCGTACTGAAATGTCATCCAATACTTCCTTCACAGTGGAAATAAAATCATGGAACTTAAGGAAATTCATTGTATGTTTTCAAACAAAGGTATCATAAAATCTAGGTATCCAATTTCATGAGTTAAAACACTGATTCAGGTTAAAAATGCATTTCATGCAGGCCTTGCCAAAAGGCTCTCTGAAGGGCTACGTCAAACCTGGTGGACAAAATGTTACGCTGCTGGTTGGTAACAGATCATGGAAGGTTAATTTGATCTATTACCCAAAGAAACCAAGGACTTGCTTCTCTGCACGTTGGTTAATTTTCGCAAGGGAAAATGATTTAAAAGTAGGAGATGTTTGCTTGTTCGAGCTGTTAGAGTGTAGTGATGATGACATGGTAATCAAGGTTTCCATTTCTAAACACTCTTCTGTTAAGCCGTAAGCGGGTATTAACCTAATGTAGTTCAGTTCTTTTTTTATTTTATTTTATTCTATTTTGCTTTGTAAGCTTAAGGTAATTGGAAATGAAAATTATTCTAAACACTCTCGTGTGTCAGTGAACCTAGAAGAGGATCAAATTCATTTATAGATAGACACTCCTTGTTCACTTTGATACTGAAATATGGACTTTAGATTTAATTATAAATTGATAACAGCCAAACATGAAGCAATATATGAAGAATAGATGATAAAAAGGTTTACTTTGACCAAATACTTGAAGCATTGAAGCACTCAAAATAAAGTGTCAGGTAAAAACAATATTGCATATGGCGAATGGCGATGCAAGTAAAAGACTAATGAGTTTAGTCACATTCACTCGGATTTTGCCTTCTGCGAGATGTTATTCTACTGGAATTGGATTAGTCGAGTTATGGATGTTGAGAACTACAAACGCGAAAACAATTTTGTGAAATTTAATTAAGACCAATAGAAGCGTATATTGGGGAGCAACGAACATTCTTGTACGGAGGCTTATCATTACGATATGCAATGTCCAACAGTTCTGAACAAAAGTCGTTTACATTTCTCCCTCTCACAACATCATATTGAATCATTGATGTCTGTGTTTGGCGGTCAAAGAATCTACCACTTGCAATACAAGAAGCAAATTTGAAAGAAAGGCACGAGTGACAAGTCCACCGAAAATTGAAGATGGTGGTTGTTGCAGACAGATTGGGCTACGGACAGAGAGGCCCATTCGCGAAAGAAGGCAACCGGGTAACTTGGCTGATTATTTTCAATTAAGAGAGCGGCCCAATTAGGAGTCCAGTAAGGATTGTGTTTGTAATTAGAAAAGTTAAAAAGAAAGAATAGATTTTTATCAAAAAAAAGAAAAAAAAAAGAAAGAATAGATTGTAACAGAATGGACATATATAGCTAGGGCTGTGCATGGGTCAGGTCGGGTCAGGTTTTTGTCCGACTCGACCCAACTTGGTTTTTATAAGTCAGGTATTTTGACCCAACCCGCTTTAATTTGATCCAAATCAGGTCTGACTTGGATTGAATTTTATTGAACTAGTACAGAACCAGTTTGGATCTGCCCTGACTTGGTTTCTGAAGTGGGTCTGACTTGGTTTTTGAACTGGGTCAAATCTGACCTGACCCGTTTTTGACTTGGTTTTCTCACAAAATTTTGTCGAAATTTTTACGTTGCAAAAGACGAAAATTTCGTCACAAAATAATTTTTTCGTCAAAATTTTTACAAAAAAAAAATTTTCTATTGAAATTTAGTTTCCGTCAACAGTTTTGACGAAAATGATTTCTTCCATCAAATGTTTTAAACGAAAAAAGAATTTTGATGGAATGTTTTTCGTTCAAAATTTCGATGGGAATGTGTTCTGACGAAAATTTTGACGGAAATTATTTCGAGGGAAATGTTTCATTTGAAACTTTCGACGAAATTTAGATTCTCTAAAGAATTTTGACAGAATATTTTTTTCGTCAAAATGTTTTTTTTGTGAAAAAATTTACAGAATTTTTATATAGAAATGTGTTTCGTTGAAAATTTTGATGGAAATTTTTTATCAAAAAATTTGATGAAAATATTTAGTTGAAAATTTTCGATGGAAATGTGTTTTGCTAAAAATTTCGACGAAATTTTTTTTTTGTCAAAAAATTTAACGAAAATTTTTTCGTCGAAAACTTTCGCCGAAATTTGAAATCTTAAAAAAATTTTGATGAAATTTTTTGCCGTCGATATTTTTTGCCGTCAAAATTTTTTGATGACGAAAATGTTTCCGTTCGAAAACTTTCGCCACAATTTGAAATCTGTAAAGAATTTGGATGAAATATTTTGCCGTCAAAATTTTTTGATGACGAAAATATTTCCGTCAAAAACTTTCGCCGAAATTTGAAATCTGTAAAGAATTTTGATGAAATTTTTTGCGGTCGACATTTTTTGCCGTCAAAATTTTTTGATGACGAAAATGTTTCCGTTCGAAAACTTTCGCCAAAATTTGAAATCTGTAAAGAATTTTGATGAAATTTTTTTTGCCGTCAAAATTTTTTGATGACGAAAATATTTCAGTCGAAAACTTTCGCCGAAATTTGAAATCTGTAAAGAATTTTAATGAAATTTTTTGCCGTCGAAATTTTTTGATGGAAATGTGTTGTGTCAAAATTTTCAATGAAAATTGTTTCATTTGAAACTTTCGACGAAATTTAGATTCTCTAAAGAATTTAGACAAAATATTTTTTCTGTCAAAATTTCTTATCGAAATATTTTTGTCAAAAAAATTTACGAATTTTTTTAATGGAAATGTGTTCCTTTGAAAATTTTGATAGATACATTCTTTATCAAAAAACTTGACGAAAATATTTAGTCTAAAATTTTTGATAGAAATGTGTTTCGCTAAAAATTTCGACGAAATTTTTTTTTGTCAAAATGTTTAACGAAAATGTTTCCGTCGAAAACTTTCGCCGAAATTTGAAATCTGTAAAGAATTTTGATGAAATTTTTTTTCATCAAAGAATTTCGATGAAAATGTGTTTCGTCGAAAGTTTTTATGAATATTTTTTTTGTGAAATATTTTGACGAAATTTAGATTCCGTAAAAAAATTTGACAAAAAAATATTTCGTCAAATTTTTTTACCGATATGTTTTTAGTCAAAAAATTTGATGAAAATATTTTTCGTCAAAAATTTTTGCGAAAATTTTTATGAAAATATTTTCCATAAAAAATTTTGACGTAATTGTTTTACGTTAAAACTTTTCTTTTAATTTAATTGTGATTTTTTTTCACGTAATGGGTATGGGTCAAGTTTTGGGTCAATATTAAAACGAGTCAAGTCTAAAACTGACCCAAATAAAAGTGGGTCAGTATTTAAACCAATTCAAAAAATATGGGTATTTATGGGTCGGGTCAAGGTCGGATCAAGGGCAGGGCAAGTGAACCAGTTTTTTTGCACACCCCTATATATAGCCCACGAAAGGGGCGTGAGAAGATATTCAGGAAATTTGTTGGGCAATCCCCTCTCTCTCTCTCTCTATCTCTCTCTCTCTCTCTCTCTCTCTCTCTCTCTCTCTGATTCCCTATTCTCATCGTAATTCAGATTTGAACCCCTTACATTTGGTGCGTTCATTCCACCTCTTCCTCCTGTTCATGGCTGAGAATACACGTATGCGTGATTTGCAACAACGATTAGACGCACTTGAACAACAATTTCAGGCAGCTGAACTGGTTCGAGAACAGCAGCATCTGGATCTATAAATGTGAATCAACAATAAATACAAGAATCTCAAAATCGTTTTCACCAAGATCTGAATCGTCTTATTGATTTACAGCAGCACAACCGTGGTATATTAGGTTCCAGTCCGACACCGGGACCCATTGCCGGTGGTGACCATTCCAGATCTCGACAAGTCAAGCTAGACTTTCCTCGTTTCTCATCTGGCGATCCAACTACATGGATCACAGTTGTTGAGAGGTATTTTGCATTTTATCAAGTTCCTATTACAGACCGTTTGAATCTAGCGGCATTTCATCTTGATGAACCTGCTGCAAGTTGGTTTTATGGTGATGGTCAAAATGGATTAATGCCTGATTGGCGCACGTTTTGCACTGCTTTGTTGTGTCGATTTGGTCCGTCCAAATTCGAAGATCCTGCTGGAACTTTGGTTAAAATTCAACAAACTGGATCAGTTCTTGATTACCAGTCCTCCTTTGAGAAGTTAGTGAGTAAGGTTCCAGGGTTATCTTACACTTTGTTGCGCAGTATTTTTGTATCAGGTCTCAAACCACACATTCGTCGTTCAGTTTTGACCCGACGACCTGGTGATTATCATGAAGCTTTTTCGTTAGCAAGAGTGTTCGAAGACCAAGCTACAGATCCAAAATTTACACGTTCTTGGCAACCTGTTCCGAAACCAGGAAATCCACTACCCCACACTACCTCCAACAAATCTACTCATATCTCGGCCATTCCAATCCGTCATTTATCTCCAGAAGAAATGCTCCAGAAGAGGGAGAAGAACCTTTGTTACAATTGTGACGAAAAATACTCTTTCGGGCACAAATGCAAAGGACGTCCAGCACTATTATGCCTTGAAGAAGAGGATGATGATTATGATTCGGGACCCTCACAAGGACCGGAAGACATCATTGCAACTGAACTGCCACCTGAAATCAACTTCAATGCCATGTTTGGCCACCGTAGCCCCAAATCTTTTCGCCTGACAGGCTCTATTAAAGGCAAACATGTCCAAATTTTGGTTGATGGGGGAAGTACCCACAATTTCATTACTCATCATATGGCTTTGTTTCTTGGTTTAACATTACATCATATTAACCCTTTCCAAGTGCAGATGGGAAACGGTGACGTATTACAATGTGTTGCTTCGTGTATTGGAATTCCTTTGAATTTACAAGCCCATGCTTTCATTGTGGACTTGTTTGTGCTTGATCTCAAGGGTGCAGATGTCGTTTCGGGCATCCAATGGTTGTCAACTTTGGGCCCAATTATCACAGATTATTCACAAATGACCATGTCTTTCACCCACAATAATTCCACTATTCTCCTTCATGGGGACCACTATGCTTCACCCTCACAAATCTCTAATGCACAATTCCACAAATTAGTTTCCCAAGACTCGGTTTCATCTTATTTCATGTGTCTTGACAGCACCGAGTCATCACTTACAACCTCACCGCCCAAAACCCCACCGCCACCGATTCAACAACTTCTAACCCAATTCCATGATATATTCACTACACCCCAGGCCTTACCTCCTGACCGAGATAACAACCACCATATCAACTTATTTCCTCACTCCAAACCCATATAAGTCTGCCTTTATAGGTACCCCCACTTCCAGAAAACAAAGATTGAAAGTGTAAGAACCCGCACCGTTAATTAAGGAAGTTAATTATTCAATTATGAGAGATTAGGAAATGATTACATAATTGACCCTAATAATTATTATGAGGATTAAATAATTATAGA